TAAAAAACGCGTTTGTAATAAAAAACGTCGAGTAAATCATAAAAAACGTCGAGTAAATCGTAAAAAACGTATTTTTAATAAAAAAAGTCGAGTAAATCGTAAAACCTTACGATTAACTCGAGGAATTTATTAAAAACGATGTCAGATCAGGAAACGATCCCATAAAAGTCGGAAAACGGATTTATCGCAAAACGGCCCGGAAAAACCTAAAACGCGATAAAAACCCATCTCGCGATCTTAACGGAATCTAACCCGAAGATTCGATAACGTTTTGACGGTTTATTCGCAGAAGGAAAATAAATGTAAAGTTCGAAGATAAAAGGCAAGTTTGTAGATAAATAGAAGATTTCCGCAGAAGAAAAGGAAGGATCGAGAAAAATGGAAGATTCTCGAAATACTCAAATCCGAAAAAATGGAAAGTTCGAACGTCAAGGCAAGGAGTATATAAACCAGAGGCGTAAGGCAGAAGAGGGGGACGAAAATCAGAGCTAAAAAGACGGCTGTTAGCTTAGGAGTTTAGGACTTAACGTTTAGACTAGCAATTCAGATCCTTAGAACGTTTCGACGTCTAAGTTCTTCAATTCTTCTTGTAACAGTTGTCGATTCTAATTTAATAAAAGCTTTCACACAAGTTCTTACTCTCTGTTCTTTATTGTTCATCCATATTCTTTTTGAATTCGTTTGTTTTAGTGATTTTCGCAGAGATCCAGGACCACGGGAAAATTAGGGTTTTATCCTAAGTTTCCATATTTGACGGAAAATCGACAGTGTGGATTTCGGTTCCCACAGTTTGGCGCTAGAAAGAGGGGGGGGGGTCGGATTCTCTTACACAATAATCGCTAGAACGAACGAGAAATAACATGCCTAATCTGAACTGCGACGTCATCTCGTTCGAGAAAAGAGCAACGATCGATTCGGTCAAACCTCTCAACGATCTTCTCGTTATTGAGCTGACGATCCAGAATATGGATGTCGCGAGGATATTAGTCGATACCGGAAGCTCGGCTGATATCATCTTCAAAAATACTCTCGAGAGAATGGAAATCGATCTGTCTGAAATCGCGGAAAATGTAAGCCCGCTAGTAGGACTCTCGGGAGAAATCACTATGACCCTCGGAACGATCAACTTGGCAGTTCGCGCCGGGAGATAATGCAAAACGTCGAATTCGAAGTCGTCGACCGACCTATGTCTTACAACGCAATCGTAGGGACACCGTGGTTAAATTCGATGCAAGCGATTCCGTCGATGTACCATATGTGTCTCATGTTCCCAACTCCGAACGGAATCGAGACTATATGGGGAAACCGACGCACTTCGCAGGTTTGCTACGACGTGGATTCAAAACAAAAAAACCTGCCGGTCGATATCTCTTCCAAAAAGAAAAAGAAGTCGAAGTCCCTCGACAACGCCCCAGAGCAAGCTAAAACGGAACTCTTCTGGCAGTTGCGAGCGGCAGAGGCTTTGGAAGGTAAACGCGAGCCAACCTGCGAACCTGTCATCTCGGTATGCATCGACGAGAATTTTCCAGAACGCTGTGTCGAAATCGGTGCAAACCTGAGCGAGACCTTAAAAGTCGAACTCCTGACATGTCTTAAACAAAACTCGAACACGTTCGCTTGGACTGCGAAAGATATGCCAGGGATCGACATAAACATCACATGTCATGAACTCAACGTTGACTCGACATCCAAACCCGTCAAACAAAAAAGACGAAAACTGGGGCCGGAACGCGCCGAAGCGGTCAACAGCGAAGTCGACAGACTCCTCAAAGTAGGATCAATCACGGAGGTTCGGTATCCTGACTGGCTCGCACATTGATCTCTTAGTCTGCGTCGATTTCACCGATCTCAATAAGGCGTGTCCGAAAGATAGCTATCCGCTGCCGCACATTGATCTCTTAGTCGAGGCAACTGCGGGAAACAAACTCTTATCTTTCATGGACGCCTTCTCGGGATACAATCAGATCATGATGAATCCCGACGATCGGGAGAAAACCGCATTCATAGCCGATCGTGGAACCTATTGCTATAAAGTGATGCCTTTCGGTCTAAAGAATGCTGGCGCGACTTATCAACGACTCGTCAACCGAATGTTCTCTGAACAACTCGGAAAAACAATGGAAGTATACATCGACGATATGCTCGTGAAATCACTCGAAGAGCAAGACCATGTCGTACACCTCCAAGAATGTTTCGAGAGGCTCAACCTTCATAACATGAAGTTGAACCCAGCAAAGTGTCGGTTTTCCGTTGCGTCCGGAGAATTTCTAGGGTACCTCGTCACTTACCGCGGGATCAAGGCTAACCCGAAATAGATCACGGCGCTAATAGAGATGGTCTCTCCCAGGACGAAACGCGAAGTACAAAGGCTTACCGGCAGGGTCGCAGCACTTAACCGTTTTATCTCGCGATCAACGGACAAATGTCTACCTTTCTACGAGACATTGAAGGGAAACAAAAAGTTTGAATGGTCAGAGAAATGCGAGAAAGCTTTCCAACAGCTGAAACATTACCTAGCTACCCCGCCAGTACTTGCGAAACCCGTAGAAGGAGAACCATTATTCCTCTATATCGCGGTATCAACGACCGCCGTGAGTGGCGTCCTTATCCGGGAAGAACGCGGAGGACAAAAGCCAATATTCTACGTAAGTAAGACACTACTGGACGCGGAGACGCGATACCCGATGATGGAGAAATTGGCTTTGGCCGTGGTCATGTCCGCAAGAAAACTGAGACCGTATTTCCAATCTCACACCATCGTCGTACCCACTTCGTTCCCTCTCCGCACCATTTTGCACAGTCCCAGCCAATCGGGAAGATTAGCAAAATGGGCGATCGAGCTGAGCGAGTACGATACCGAATATCGCGCAAAGACTTGCGCGAAATCACAAGTACTCGCGGACTTCATAGTGGAACTCCCGACGGGAAGTACGTCCAACGAAGAGCCGAACTCGACCTGGATCTTGTACGTTGACGGATCCTCATCCAAACAAGGTTCTGGGATTGGCATCCGACTTGCATCCCCGACGGGAGAAGTATTGGAACAGTCATTCCGATTAATTTTCCACGCTTCAAACAATGAATCCGAGTATGAGGCCTTGATCGCGGGACTACGGTTAGCTCACGGAAGATTCGTAACCTTCACGCGTACTGCGATTCCCAACTAGTGGCTAGTCAATTTAGCGGGGAATACGAAGCAAGGGACGAACGAATGGAAGCGTATCTGATCTTGGTAAAAGATCTAACTCATAAGTTCGATCAATTCGCTTTGACTAGAGCGGAGAACGCCCAGGCAGACGCCTTGGCCGCCCTAGCATCCAGCTCGGATCCTGGTATGAGCAGGGTAATTCCCGTTGATTTATCGAACACCCTAGCATCGGACTGCCCATAGTCGTAAATCTGATCAATGAATCAAAAGACGTTGTGGAGGAGAGCCACCCGGCCGAAGATCAGTCCGATTACGGATTCAATCGTCCGTGGATGGAAACAATCCGCGCATACATAACCAACGGAGAAATTCCATCGGAAAAATGGGCGGCCCGAAAGATAAAAACCCAGGCCGCACGGTACGTCGTAATGGACTGAGAACTTTAAAAATGGAGGTTCTCTGGACCACTGATGACTTGCGTGCAAGGGGAGAAAGCGCGGCGGTTTATGCAGGACACGGTCGCGTTCTGAACCACGGCCGAAACATCTCCCGTTCCATCTCGATCCAACTTATCGTTCGAGTTTTACGATAAAAACCGTAAAACTTCGCTTTCTCGATAAAGAACTCGAAGAAATCGTATAAAACGGCAACGGTTAAACGAAACACCGAACATTGTCTAAACTATACGATTTATTCGAGATTTCTCGTTGAAATCATAAAAAACGCGTTTGTAATAAAAAACGTCGAGTAAATCATAAAAAACGTGTTTTTAATAAAAAACGTCGAGTAAATCGTAAATAACGTATTTTTAATAAAAAAGTCGAGTAAATCGTAAAACCTTACGATTAACTCGTGGAATTTATTAAAAACGATGTCAGATCAGAAAACGATCCCATAAAATTCAGAAAACGGATTTATCGCAAAACGGCCCGGAAGGACCTAAAACGTGATAAAAACCCATCTCGCGATCTTAACGGAATCTAACCCGAAGATTCGATAACGTTTTGACGGTTTATTCGTAGAAGAAAAATAAATGTCAAGTTCGAAAATAAAAGGCAAGTTTGAAGATAAGTAGAAGATTTCCGCAGAAGAAAAGGAAGGATCGAGAAAAATGGAAGATTCTCGAAATACTCAAATCCGGTAAAATGGAAAGATCGAACCGTCAAGGCAAGGAGTATATAAACCAGAGGCGTAGGGCAGAAGAGGGGGACGAAAATCAGACCTAAAAAGACGGCTGTTAGCTTAGGAGTTTAGGACTTAGCGTTTAGACTAGCAATTCAGATCCTTAGAACGTTTCGACGTCTAAGTTCTTCAATTCTTCTTGTAACAGTTGTCGATTCTNCGTCAAGGCAAGGAGTATATAAACCAGAGGCGTAGGGCAGAAGAGGGGGACGAAAATCAGACCTAAAAAGACGGCTGTTAGCTTAGGAGTTTAGGACTTAGCGTTTAGACTAGCAATTCAGATCCTTAGAACGTTTCGACGTCTAAGTTCTTCAATTCTTCTTGTAACAGTTGTCGATTCTAATTTAATAAAAGCTTTCGCACAAGTTCTTACTCTCTGTTCTTTATTGTTCATCCATATTCTTTTGAATTCGTTTGTTTTAGTGATTTTCGCAGAGATCCAAGACCTCGGAAAAATTAGGGTTTCATCCTAAGTTTCCATATTTGACGGAAAATCGACAGTGTGGATTTCGGTTCCCACAGACATGATCATTTCTTAAAATTCAAAAACCCATTCCTTTATTTAAACAAACAATCACTTCACTATCTCTATCTTTAAAGTCTCTTTCTCTCTACCGGACTATCGCCATTAAAACCCAATTTTCCTTTCCTCAAGGATCTTCGGAGAGAAATGTCGAACGTTCATCAGAATCGCCGACCTTCCTTTTCGTCTTCAACGAAATCTTCCATAGCGAAGCGTCACGCATCATCGTCTTCCTCGGAAAAGAACTCTCTGAAACCAAGCTCCACCATGGCCGTTATGACGAAGAAACGAGTCCCACTTGGTAACATCACCAATCAAAAGAACGGTTCAAGAATCCCAAATCCATCTTCTGATCTCGTGAGTACTTTACAATCTGCTCAATTTTGCTCGATTTTGACTGTATTGTTTCTCTGATCGAATCGTTGATGTTATTGATTAGGCTAATTGCTCGAATAAGTCTGCGAAATTGAAGTTAGCACAACCGAAGCCAAGCAAAGTAACTTCAGTGCCCTACGAACATACCAAAGCGCCTTCTCCTAGCAAATCTGATGATGCGTCAATTTCTATGGACGAGACAATGTCTTCATGTGACTCCTACAAGAGCCCTCAAGTGGAGTACATCGAACAAGTCTCTTCTGTTGTTTCCATCGAAAGGAAGGCATTGAGTAATCTCTACATAACTCTCAGCCCAGACACAACTAATGTTCCCTTTTTTTTCTCTCTATACTTTGCTTATAACTAGTGTTCTGGTATTGTGCCGTGTTTCTGAATTTGTCTCTTTGGATTGCAGTTAACTGTTGCAGAAGAGATGTATTGTTTGATTTGGAGACTAAGGATAAGGTTGTCAACATAGACAATAACGATGCGGATCCACAGCTGTGTGCAACGTTTGTTTGTGATATCTACAAGCATCTTCATGCTGCAGAGGTGAAAATCTTTTGGTTTTGTGAGTAACATTATTTATGGTTTGCAAGTTCTGAGTTTGTAAATCTATGGTTTAGACAAAGAAGCGGCCTGCTACTGACTTAATGGAGAGGGTTCAGAAAGATGTTAACTCAACTATGCGCGGAATCTTAGTTGATTGGCTTGTTGAGGTAGGTAAACTCTAGTTAAATCAAACTCAGAAATATGATGGGTTTGTGTTAATGTCGTAAATATGTGATTGAAGTTTTTCTGTTTCTAACAGGTCTCAGAAGAGTATAGGTTTGTACCTGAGACGTTTTATTTGACAGTGAACTACATTGATAGATATCTATCTGGGAATGTGATTAGTAGACAGAAGCTTCAGTTGCTTGGTGTGGCATGTATGATGATAGCAACGTAAGAACGAGTTTTCCTTATGATTTCTTTTTCTTATTTTTTTGTTATGTTTAGGTAAAATCTTTTTTTTTTTTTTTTTTTTTTTTTTTTTGGTCAAAAGGTAAAATCTTATGATGCCTAAATGCTTGAATGTTTCAGAAAATACAAAGAGATATGTGCGCCACAAGTTGAGGAGTTCTGCTACATCACTGATAATACATATCTAAAGGATGAGGTTTGTGTTTTCCACAGGATTTTGATCAATGAGAACAAAATTTGAGTGATAAAAATTGTTGATTTTGCATCTGTGTTCCTTCTGCAGGTTCTTGACATGGAATCTGCTGTTCTGAATTACTTGAAGTTTGAAATGTCAGCACCAACAACCAAATGCTTTTTAAGGTTAGCAAGATGATTGGTGTCTCATCATTACAATATATCTATCTCCCCGAATTTTAATAACCCTTGAATCTTTAAACCTTATATTCAGACGCTTTGTACGGGATGCTCATGGAGTTCATGAAGCTCCATTAATGCAGCTGGAATGTATGGCCAGCTACATTGCGGAATTATCGCTTTTGGAGTAGACAATGCTTTCTCAACCTCCGTCACTTGTTGCTGCTTCAGCCATTTTCTTGGCTAAGTACATTCTAGACCCAACAAGAAGATCATGGGTATGTATATTTTACTTTGTTTAGAGAGACTTTTGTTTGAAGGATCAATGTAGTAAACTGTTTGTTTCTTCTGGTGAATCAGAATTCAACATTGCAACATTATACGCAGTATAAATCTATGGAGTTGAAAGGATGTGTGAAGGATCTTCAACGATTGACTAGTAACGCTCATGTCACTACTCTTCCTGCTGTAAGAGAGAAGTACAGTCAACACAAAGTAAGTTTTGTTTTTTGTTTATATATATGAAGAAGTTTTGTCCATCCATGGTTTAATATTAATGAACGTTTCTTTTCTGCTGATGATTATGGTTTAATATTAATGAACGTTTCTTTTCTGCAGTACAAGTTTGTGGCGAAGAAGTTTTGTCCATCCACAATCACACAAGAGTTCTTCAACAACAGTTAGATCAATCCTCAGTTAACTATGTTCCAATGCTGCGTTGGATTGTCTGATTGTATATGATTTAGCTGCCGTTTTTGCAGTTCATTAAAAATTAGCTATCTACGATCTCATTTATAATGTTCACGGAGCAGTAAAACCTCTGAAATGGTAAAATCAATTAGTAGAAAGTTTTACAATCTGCTTAACCGATATCGTTGGTGTTTCAACCAAAAAAAAAAGAAGCTTGACCAATTGCAAACTTAATCATAGAATGCATTTTCTTAGGTAGATTGTACAAATAAATGATGAACTACCACATTTGTGGGTCAATTATATAATGGTTTCAAAGTTTCTGGTCTCTTTCTACTCCTAACTCATTATATTATAACTATATATATCTCTTAACAAAACTTTGATTAGCTAATTAAATCAAAGTTTAAATCAAAATTTTATTATAACTACCACATTTGTGGTTCAATTATATAATGGTTTCAAATTTTCTGGTGTATTTCCACTCTTAGCTCATTAAGTTATAACTATATATATCTCTTAACAAAACTTTGATTAATTAAATCGATTCTACTAGTACTCCCACCTACGTTGTGTTGAGTTTTTTACTTCCATTGGAGATTTGTGAAAACTAGCAAGAGCCATTGCACACTTTTGGTAAAGCATAAATCTCCCAAAAAGAGGAATTTGTTAGGTAAAATAGAAAAAAATTATGGTTATCAAGAGAGGAAGAAATTGTCTTTAAGATGATTCATGAGTTTAACTTAGCACTACTAACAAAAAATTTATGGATACTAATTATCAGATTCTTTCTACGTGACAAATACTATAAACTAAGTTCGCCGTTGCGAGCTGGTGCAGTAGATACCCTTTCCTACATAGGAATCAGTTTTGCCACAAAGCCTTTGATACTGTTGGGGATTCAACAAAAAGTCCTTTCAGACTATGATGTAAGAGTGTGGGAAGATTCATAGATTCCAACTTTACATATAAGGCGGGGAAGGACAAATATACAGGTAGTACATCTTAGGATGAAAGTTAGTGACTTTATTAATGAAGAATCAAGGGAATAAGATGCGGATAGGCTCGAAAAATTCATAGCACGAGAAGATATCTCTTTTAAAAAACATGGACATAAGCCAAACTTTAAACCGTGATACCTATTGTTGAAGCTTTACTAAGAGTGGTCTATATACTGTTAAGTTTGGATATTTAGTGACCAAACATTTTCTGAAGGAAGAAGAGAATGTTGCTTTTTTAGAACTAAGCATCACGAAACTTCAAACCTTTGCTTGGAAGTTAAATGCTCCTCAAAAAATTGACCATCTTATATGGCAATTAATCTTAGGACATGTAGTTGTAACAAGGAATTTGAATCATCATCATATGCGATGTGATAATATGGCCTAGGATGTGAAGAATCCGATGAGTATGTAATGCATGCTTTCTTTGAATGTTCTTCTACTGTCCAAGCTTGGCCTCTAGCAGCTACACTGCCTCATCCTAATATTTTTGATGTATCCAGCATATTCATTAACATGGATTATCTCTTTTGGCGGAAAAATAGCGAGGATCCGGAGATGAACATAAACCCTTATCAATTAGATAATTTGCTATCTTTAGAAAGCACATAATGATAAACTATTCAGAGGGATTGATAAAGACCTGCTTGAACTGAAAATATATGCATAAAAGAATGTCAAACATGACACAACATATGAACTAAATGCAGAGTTGGTACAATCAACTGAAGCAACATCTCAAGTCTAGACTGTGAGAATATATGTTTGATCGATATTCAGTGGAAGTGGATTGACGTGGATTGATATCAGTGGACGGACACAACTTATGGGTGTATGAAATCAAAGCTGAAGGAATCCTCATTGCATATAGAGTTGGAAGTGCTACGTTGGGCAATGGAAAGTATGTTAGATTCAACATGCCAGCACTTTGAGACAGTCTGCAAGACTTGATAGTGATGCTAGGGGATCCATAGGCATATCCGAACTCCTCAACTGAATTGGAAGACATACAAGGACCAAAGTGAATATTTCAAGATATATCACACTGCAAGGAGACAAAATGGAACTGCAAAGTTTTTGACCAGAACTTTTCATAGAACCCTTTGTTTTGTTGGTTGTTATATTGCGGCCTCGTTATCCAAAACACCTCAAGCTTGAGTAATCGAATGATCGTAACGTAAAAAAACTTTGATTTGCGTAAATGTCAGATTCTGATGTGTACTACTTGTATTTTATTTCAAGAGGACGAGGGATCAAAGTTGATGAGATGTCCTATCGTTCTATGAATCTTTTAAAGACTACAATCTCTTCTTTTTAAGTACGATTACACAATTGCTTGTCATCAGTGGCGAATTTACTGGTCCGATATTTCTTGATCATCTGGCCGCCACAGGTACGAACATTCGTCTCTCATGCCCTCATACTTCTCAACAAAACGACAGAGCAGAGCGCATGCTTCGTACGATAAACAATCTTGTTCAGACTCTTCTTATTCAAGCGAACATGCCTCACAACTTCTGGGTTGAGGCGCTTCATACAGCCGTATACACTCTCAATCTCTTACCCTCTTCTTAAATCGATAAATTTGTTCCATTTACTCGATTGTTTAATCGTCCCGTCTCTTACTCTCACTTACGTGTTTTTGGCTGTCTCTGTCACTCAAACACTTTCCATACAACAGTTCATAAGCTTGCACCTCGATCTGTTGCTTGTATGTTCTTGGGATACCCATCTAACCATCGTGGATACATGTGTCTTGAGCTCGTAACTCGAAAAATTATCACTTCTCGACACGTCACTTTTGTCGAGGACACTTTTCCTTTTGCAGCTCTCCCTACTCAACAAAGTCTTCCACCCTCTACTCCTTTACCGCCCTCTCTCATTCCTGCACCCATTCAAGTCCCAGCGCCGGTGTTTGGTACCCCTTCACCGCCACCTCTTACTTAAAACAACCACCCAATGGTTACTCGAATAAAAAGCGGTATTACCAAACCTCTTGTTCCTCTCTGCCTTCATACCGAGGTCATTTCTCCTCTTCCTCTCTCTCATGTCCAGACATCAAGAGACCCTAACTGGAACAGGTTTGTACACGAGGACCATGATGCTCATATAAAACGCGGAACGTGGGTACTTGTACCACGCCCTCCGAACACTAACATTATTCGTTCTCTGTGGTTGTATTATCATAAGTTTAATGCAGATGGGATACATAAGCGATACAAGTCCAGACTAGTAGCTCCATGTTGCTGTATCTCATAACTGGCCACTACGACAACTTCACGTCAAAAGCGCGTTTCTGCACGACGATCTCAAAGAAACAGTATACATGCATAAACCACCAGGCTTCGTCGACAAATCCAAACCAAACCATGTATGACTTCTCAAAAATTCATATATGGTCTCAAGAAAGCGCCCCGAACTTGTTATACTCGGTTTGCTACAATCGCTAAGCAGCTAGGATTTTGTCAAAGTCGGTCTGACCCATACTTGTTTGTGCTCATTCGAGGCTCTACCAAAGCTTACATCTTCTTGTATGTTGACGACATCATCCTTACAGGCTATACACCAACTCTGGTTGAATCCATCATCTCTGCTCTCTCTGCAAAATTTGATCTCTCAGACCTCGGGCGTCTTCACCATTTTCTTGGTATTGCAGTCACTTTCAACGACTTTGGTTTGCTCCTCAGCCAACACAATTACGCTGCAGATATAATTCACCGTGCCTCCATGATAAAATGCAAAACATCTCTCACTCCAGTGGGCACAAAATCAAAACTCACTGCTGATGATGGACCTCCCGTTGCAGACCCATCTCTCTATCGCAGTCTGACTGGAGCTCTCCAATGCTCGACTTTCACTCGCCCTGACATCTCGTATGTGGTTCAACAGATATGTATTTTCATGCATGATCCACGGGAGCCACATTTTACAGCCTTAAACTGTATTCTACGGTACATCAAAGGAACCATCGACCATGGACTTCAGATCACCAAGTTTTCTTTCACCGATATGGTTGCTTAGTCTGATGGCGACTGGGCTGGATGCCCTGATACACGACGATCCACCTGTGGATTTTGTGTGTTTCTTGGTGAAAACTTCATTTCGTGGTCCTCAAAACGGCAGAACACAGTCTCTCGCTCTAGAGTAGAAGCCGAGTACAGAGTAGTAGCTAATGCAGTTTCAGAGACCACTTAGTTACGAAATCTGTTTCTGGACCTCGGCATCACATTGTCAAAGGCTACTATTATCTACTGCGAAAACATTTCTGCAGTCTACCTCTCGTCCAATCCCGTTCAGCATCAACGAACAAAGCACATTAAAATTGATATACACTTTGTTCGGGAACGCGTAGCACTTGGCCATGTTTGCGTGTTGCATGTCTCAACTCACTTGCAATATGCTGACATCTTCACTAAGGGACTGCCTTCACCCTTGTTCACGACCTTTCGTTCCAGTCTGAGCGTTCGCTGACCATCTCTCTGACTGGTGGGTGTTAGTTAGGATATGCACATATCCTTTTGGTATAGAATAAGTATATTCTCTGTATATTTATTTACGTAGATCTCATATGATCTCTTCCCTTGTATAAATATATTGACGTGATCAATGGAATGTTATCAAGCCAAATACACTTTCAATTTAGGCATATCAAGTTTTCAAAGGTTTAAGTATAATCCAATTAGAGAGTTATACCTTTTACGGTTCTTTGTGTTAGAAATTTTGTGAGTTTGGAGGGAACAAACTTGAATTGTACAACTCTGCTACAAGGAAGATTGGATAGATTATAAATTAGTCAGTGATATTTTTCGACTTGTGAGATCGGTCTGATTAAGAAGATATAGTCTTTTATCTGTTTAAAAAGATCTTTAATAAAAACGGTATGAATGTGTTTTTTTTTTAATTTAGAGAAATTTCAGACTCAAGTCCAGACTAATCTCTAAAGGAAAGTGTAATCCATGGATGAATCTTCTGTCTGGATATTCTAATGAGCTG